GGGATGCGGTGAGGAGTTTTCCTCGACTGCCTGTAAGCCACAAGGCCTGCTGCTCCCCAGTGCAATTGCAAATACTCCGAGGAGTTAATGGGTCTCAGGAGCAAAAGTAGTGCTGTCGCTTGAGATGCAATGGACTGTTCGTGCATGATATCGTGAGATTTAAAAGGAGGCACAGGTATTGTAGCGCAGTAGAGCCCACTGGACAGCCCCATACATGCATATTCTGGCGTGTGCCGTGCACATACTGTGGTTAAGCTGCTGGCAAAAACAGCAAACGTCAAAAACGGAGTATGATAGTGTAGGTTGCTGCGTCGGCGACGCTATCGAGTTGGCAGTGAACCCTGGCCTATTAGAACCAGCAAGGTGCCTAGCTTGTTCTGTTGATGTTCATGCAGGCACCTAATGGCCCCTCAGAATTCTAGAAGGACCCGTTATCTTCCATTTATCCGTTCCATAGGCAGAAGTGCTCTTCAAAATGGTTTTCTTCGTTGTTACGTTGAACTAATAGATGAAACTGTTGGCAGCAGGTCGTGCTGTTCTGTAGCGTTGCGACGCGCCTTGCTGGACGCAGTGCTGCACTGTAGCATGCTCTGCCTACAATTAGCGCAGGACCCTTCACTTGACCTTGGTAGGTTGCGTGTAAGCGAGTGCAAAGTTCTTTAAGTACATTCAGAGACAAAGCATACAGCAAAGCAAGCTTCTTTGAAGCTTCCTTGTGGGCACGCGTGAAGCTGGCTTGTATTACCAGCCGCGGCGAGGTGCGCTCCCACCCCACTTCAGGCTGCCTCTTCCCCGCAACGCCCAGGCCTGAGCTCAACGCCCAGGACATCTGAGGAGGGAAAGGATGTCAGACGCTTTTGGGAAACTCTTGCTTTGAGTCTTTACCTACATTGCAGCTCCATTGTGTCCTTGATTAACACCAGAGAGCAAGGGTTATATACAAGGTAACCCCACATTCAAGTGCAAGCAAGCCCCCTTTGCTGCATGCGCTAACACTGTAGAGAGCTGTTGAACACATATTTGGTCGCCCGTATCTAGCATGTGAGCAAGTAGAGGTACACCTACCGGTTTTACACAGACCAAGCTCTGCAGGCCGTGCTCTGTGGATATCGATGTTCTGGTGTAGAGGAACGCTGAACAGCGACGGGGTTTATACACACGTACGAATTATAAAGATGCCTTTAGGACCCTGAAAGAAGGGGAAATCCAGGCGGGAGTTGGGGGTGTAGGAAGGGGAACTGCGACAGCCCGGCCCAGAAACGCTTGCAAACGATGCTTTACTACAAAGCAAATCCACAGCACAAAATGTCAGACCCGCACGTTTTCCTTCAAGCAGTTTCTAGGAAAGGGGAATAACCTCGACAGAAGATAATCTTTTCGTAATGCCTTGTTCAGCGTTGCAGAAAACATTGGAGGTGCCCTACGACCAGTTCACGTGTATCGCCAACCAGTTTCCACAGACTCCCACAGCCGATCTCAATAAAAATAGTTGAGCTGTTTAGTTGTGAAACAAACACATTTATACAGAAATATACTGCCAACCCGCCGTTTCTGCTGCCCTTTCATGTTAGGTATGATGAATTTACCTCCTTCCGTCGTGTCCCCGCGCAGCATTCGAGCATTTCAACGTTGAGATCTCCGCCGTAAGCCGAACCAAACACAGGTTTAAGGTTACGCACTTTTTGCGCTGTTTCCTGGTCCTTTTGAAGGCATATGTGGCTCGACGCGCGTCTGGGGACTGAGGCATCGAACCTGTGGATTCTCGCGGCCTGACCTTCTTGTGGGTCGATTGTCTCACGGGGCGTTCATCTTTCTGTTCAAAAACCCATGCGGGGCCGCCAAATTTTCTTCTCCTCTTTTTCAACTGCCACCGGGTGCCTGTGTACTCTGGGACTACTGTCTACGGATGCAGAGGCACCCGTTTCGGCTGCGGCTCACTCTCCCGGCATTGAGCCGGAGTCGCATAGCCTAACGTCATTCAGCAACAATGCGTGGTCCACTGCAGGGCGTGAAAGGGAGGATGGAGGGACCAGATCCCTGTTTTCTGATGATTCCCTACATGATGCTTCACATCTGCAGGACGGCACTCTCGTTTCCCCCTTAGGAGACACACGCCACTCCCGACCGGGCGTGAACGTCTTAGAAGAAGACCGAGTTAGAGCAGGCTTAGTCCCCTTACTCCCCCCTGCTGCTTCCCCCAAGAGCAGCAAGGATGGACGACGGCGTCTCTTCGCCGCCGTCAGCACAGCTTTTCTGGGTTTTGCCCTCTACTTGGGGCTCATGACATTGCGCTATAAGCAGGTCCCGCCGGACTCACAACCAGCAGGCTCCGAACAGACGCGGCCGAAGCAGCGACAGCAAGATACCGAGACGGTAACTGCTGAGCAACTGCTGCAGTCGGTGGACGAGCTGAAGAATCTCCAGCCGCTGGCAGCCGAGTTAGCGAAGATGGTGGGGACACACGAGTCTCGTTCTGCCTTGCAGGAGCTTTGCTCGAGTCTAACGCGTTCGCAGGATATTGCCCAAATGATTCAGGTGGGCCCTGCGGTCTCGTCTGGGTCGCCTCTGACTGCAGTGAAAACGGCGATACAGGACAGCGTCTCCGCGTTGTCTCGGCTGTACGAAGCCGCTCGGGAGCGTGGCCTGTCTCTGACACAAGAGGTACAGAAGGAACGGCCTCCTGTTTTTTCGGAGGAGGAGATGCAGTTGCTGGAGGATAGCCTAGGCACGGGCTTCAGAGAATTTGTGGATTTTCGCGAGCAGAGCATGAAATATTCTACTCCGATATTTGTGCAGAAGGTGGAGAAGGCGGCGGCGGAACTGAAGGGTCTGCGGAGCCTCGACTGCACGGATGACCTGCATTTGCTGGTGTCTGTTGCTAAAAACCTAGAAATAGTCAAGGTAGCGCATGACGCCATGCAGATAGAATCTGAGTGGTCTGGTGAGATCAGTGACAATGCAGCAGCAGTGCTGCGCATGCAGTACCAACGGAAGCAGGCGTCCACGCACCTCGAGTTAGAAGGACAACTAGGAGAACTACACATTCTGTGTACATTGGAGCGGGAGCGAAGGCAGTTTGAACTCAAAGAAGACGTCAGCGTCTTAAAGACCCTCGAATTGCTTGAAGAGCAGCTGAAGAGAGGCGAACTACAGCTTCAGAAGCACGAAAATTTGATGAACCGGGCCAAACATGCAGGTAATATCCTCTCCGCCCTTAAGGCGGAGAAACAGGCCGTAGCGGTAGCTGAAAGCCTGAAGGCCTTGCTGGAAGCCGCTGCCAGTAGCAGGCGTTCGATTCCCGGCGTCGCTAGCGAAGAGGAAGCCGCCCAAAGCGAAGCCATGCAGCGCCACCGTACGCTAGTGGCCTACAGGACCAAGCAACGGGCTGCATCACACGCGAAGAGAGCAATAAGCAGGCTGAAGGCGATAGAAATGCAGATATCCGGCGATTTCGCCTCGCCGTCGGAACAGGAACTGAAGGGAAAGGCACGACCTCCCTTAGCGAGACATATGAGTATCAAGTTGGCCGAGCTGGTCGCTGATAAGCTGAAGGAGGTTGAGGATGTAAATGCAGATTTGCGCAAGCCTGTAAATACAGAAGAAGACACGGAAGAGGGAAACAGCAGCTCAGCGGCCCGTACGAAGGAAATATTGCGGGCATCACAAGCGGCTGCAAGTGCTGCGGTGGCCTTCCTGCACGAGGCCGAGCTCATGTGGCTGGACGCACGGCTTAAAAAATCCTTGGAATTCGACGTGCAGTTGAGCGTCGCCTTGGCGCGGAAAGCAACTGCCGCGGTAAGCATAGCAAGAGGGGAGGAAGCCCAACAGCAACACGACCATATTGAAATGTCTGCAGCTGATATTCAAGAATTTGAAGAGCTTCTGGCGCAGTTCAACAGTGGGCACGAGAAGGCGCAGTCAGCTAATGGTCTCAATGAACTGGCTTCAGCAGCAGCAGGGATAAAGCAGGTAGCTTCAAAACTTACGACATTTGTTGAGGAACTTCAGAAGCAACCAGCGAAACGCTGAAGACGAACAGAAAGCCGAGCACAGTGCTACGCCCATTTGAATCCGGCAGATGGAAAGGTGCAGCGGTTGTTTTTGATCTCTATCTCCCGTTTGCACCTGGGTGATAAGGTAGCCAGAGGAGCTCATCAGAAGGCAAAGAGGACAGGAGAGCAAGTGCATTGGCGGGCGAGGAGAGGAGTGGCGTAAAGGTGGGAATGGGTTTCGAGTACACCCTTTAGAGCGCCGCCACTCAGTTAGCCATTTCCTCTGGGGGGAGCAGATATGCTTGGAGATCCCGCTTTAACGCTTCGTTCGGTGAAGGGTTCCCTCGCAGCGGACTGAGCAGGAAAACAACGGCAACAACAGCGGGGTCGTAGCCGATTCGCGTTGTTGCTTTGTTTACAACCGCAACTCGTATGCTTTCCAGGCCTCGGCATAGAGCAAAAGTGAGCTGGGTCGTTAAATAGAGATGCAGTTTCTACAGAAGACATTTTCAGTTAGTGCACCGGCCAGCGGTTCCCTGGTTTTATTCTAGCTAGACGGAGTTGCGGGACTCACTGCCGATGATGGAGTTTGAAGACCTCGCAGTCTGCGGCCTAAAACAACCGTCAGGAGTCCTGTAGAGGAACGACAACCGTTTGTCTCAAAGGCTTCTTTAAAGACAAGCCAACGCAGCACTGGACTATTGATCATACCTTGGAGGCACATCAGCAGGGAAAGACCATAGAAGATGTACTAAACAGATTATTAGGTCAGCGTATGCATGCATCCTGCCCATATATACGCTGCGCGTCCAGGTTCAGGTGTTCTGTGTGTTCAGTACCGCTGTGTGACTCGCCAGTATGAAAAATGCTGCGCAGCTGCTGCTGCAGTCCTTGATTTTATGCATCGATGTGGGCCATTTTGTCCAGCGATGCGTATTTGTTTTTTTCCGAGTTGAGTCGTAGAGTACCGGTTCTTCTGCCTGTCATTATTGTGATCGTTTCGTTCTGTCTCCTCTTCATCCCACCTTGCCGCCGCATGAAGAGTATCTTGTCACACGCTCATCAGCGTGTGACGCGGCGGGCGTTTCGGAATTAACTATTTATTGCTAATAACTCAGGCCGCTTTGACAGACCCCTCCCTCACTTAAAACCTACAAAGCTGCGGACAGGAGCAGAGGCAATAGATGAAGAGCCTTAAGCAATGCAGGGACCAGCCCAGTCCTCCATTTGTGCCCTGGTTTAAGAACGGTTGAGGAGCGCTGCTAACCAGAAGGTTTCACAAGGCATCTGCGGCAGCAGGCATTTCGCCAGCAATAACTGCTGCTGAAGCACGTTCGTCCTATTCGGTGGAACGGCTTCACGCAGTGGCGTCAGCGTAAACCTAAGCAAGATACCCTGTGTTCGAATGTCGGTAGTCTCTACGCAGAATTCGGCAGCGCCAGTAGAGCAGGCAGCGCATCTGACACCAATCCCAGCAACGCTCACCCCAGCAAGGCAAGTGCTG